TAAAAGCAGCGGAAAAACATTTGTCCTTACAATGCAAAATCTATTGAAAACTATGTAAAAGGAAAATTTATAACAACTCTATCATAACTATCTAAGCTCAAAATCCAATCTTCAAGTCCATGCGATCAAGATCCATCTCTTGTGATTAGATTCATCTTGCTCTCTTATCAAGCTTCCTTTCTTTTCACCGATCCAGCAAAACATTCAAATGCAATCTTATCACATCATGTATTAAGAATCAATGAATAGGAACTTAGCGGAGTTAGATAGTGGATTTTACCTGAAGCGTAGTCATACTTTTGACTCTCCTATCTCTTAGATCACTTGGGTAAATAGGGCAACTTCATCTCCAATGCCCCTTCTCTTGGCAATAAAAGCAAATTGACTCTTTTGGAACAACACATGGAACTACTTCAAACATCGCCTTTCTCTTATGATCAAACTTTTCGATCATTGCATGTCGTTCATTGCCATTGTCTATATCCATAGAGGTCTTGAAGGCAAATTCGCCAATCAACTTTGCTTTTCTATTGCGCCAAACCATTGTTGATTCAGCAGCAATAAGCATATAGGTGAGATCAATAAGGGTCACGTTGTGGTTCATCATATAGTACTCTCTTACGAACTCACTATACGAGTTAGGAAGTGACTGAAGAACCCAATCAACAACCATCTCTTCACCGATAATGGATCCCATCATTCTTAGTCTATCAATGTGTGACTTCATCCCTAAGATGTGTGCACACACCGACTTTCCTTCTTTATGTTTACTTGCCAAAAGGGCTTGAGTGATATTGAACCTTTCAATTTTCCAATCTTGTGGGTTAGGGAGAACAATTGGAGGAGGTGGAGGAAGTGAAGCACGATTTCTTGTTCCTCGATCGAATCGTGGAATATCATCTTCATGTGGAATGCTTGTTCCACGGGATTTGGGAAGACTATAGTTTTCGAACTTTGACATCTACAAAACGGGAGAAAACAAATTCAAGTTAGTTGATCGATTGAGTCCTTAGTAAATCACCCAAATGGGATACTAAGGCTAGGACCCAACACAATACGCTACAACCTAGAAAAGGGATGCCGTAATCTAGTTGCAGAATATTTGAAGGTAAGTGAATGACGATTCACTAATTTCCACCATGAAAAACGAAAAATAAATTTAAGTTTTAAATCTATGAAAACTCCTAGATCCTTTGAGATTCATTGAACATTTCAATGGCATGTTTAAATCTCGATATGCCCCTCTCGTTTGTGACTGGGATGCCGAGGATCACAAAGCGGGTGTGGATAACCATGCAAAGTTACATGGTGCCCTCACATGTTACAATCACCTATTCGATGTGCTGGTAAACCACACACCCTCCACCGAACTATGACAAACATTGAGTCACCCTTTGCTACCTTTCTTAGAACCATTTAGTGTGCTGGTAAACCACATACGCTCCACTAACGTCTTCGCAAGGGCACAAAGTGTAATTTCATGGAATTGCATCAATTCACTTTTGCCTAAGTAACTAAGATTGGGAATTTGAAAAAAAAACATTTAGTTACTTTTGTATTTCGTTATACTTATAATGGAAGGTTTCGTCCTATCCTACCCGTTCGGCTAACGACTCTCCACTAGTCAAGAGTGCGGTGGGTAAGAGTGGATACCCATTCAATCGCCATTTTTATAGGCAATTTCCTTAAACACCCCTTATAGACCAGCTTCGTGAATGAGGCCTACTAACGGTAAGACTGACTTTTACTCATACATATATATAATGTTAGACTTTTAATGTTATATATATAGTATAGGGTGCATTTTACACTTTTAAAATACTATTTGGTTAACTTTAACAATTACACTTTTAATTCAATTAAATGGTTAACCTAAACTTTTATGGATTTATTAAATCTCTTTTAATTATACTCCTTAATTAATTAATAAAACCATAAGGGTGTATTTGAACTTTTCAAACCTAGGGTTTTAGAATTCAACATTCCTAATTAAACTTTTAATCAACTTTTAAATTCCAAAACTTGAGGGCAAGTTTTGAAACATTTCAAAACAATAGGGTTTAGAATTTAAATATACATCACAATTAAACTATTAATCAAAATTTAAATTCCAAAACTTGAGGGCAAGTTTTGAAACCTTTTTCAAAACATTAGGGTTTTAACTATTTAAATTTCAAAACTTCAAAACTTTTGGGTTCAAATTTAAACTATAAAACCTAAAGGGGAAAATATGAAACTTTTCATAACAACAAGGATCAAATAAGAAATAATTCAAATTAACATTTAATCACATAATTATCCATATTTGATTTATTTAATGATTTCTTGCAAAACAATTTATCAATTTACTCAAAATAATTAATCAATTATCACATAAGGAAACAATTATCTTATTAATTGATAAATATCTTCAATTAGATCAAAATTATAGTCAAATATATCAAATGATTGGATTAATATTGGTCTAACATGATAAGGTAACTATCCATAAGCAAAAACAGCAAGAAAACTCGAGATACCCTCCATCTGACGAGTTGACTCGTCGAGTCAAGCCTGGACTCGTTGAGTCACCCTAGACTCGGCGAGTTCAGCTATGGACTCGGCGAGTCCAGCCTCTAGAACACCAAAAAATCGAATTTTTAGATATACAATGCATCAATACAATTGAAACCATCCTAGGCTCTGATACCACTGATGGGTTTTGGTCATAAGACATCATATGTGCTCATACAAACCCTAATGCTTGGATCTAGGTTTCTCTATTGTACATGCTTTGAATCCAAGACTATAAACCCTAATTCTAGTATATGAAATCGATATTAACATATGAATGGGTTTAAGAACATACCTTGATTGTTATATAGCAATAACAATCCTAAATCTCCTTAAATTGACTTTGGAATGCTTAGAGTCACAAGTGTCACTCCTCTAATGGCTTACAAACACCAAGAACAAATGGAGAAGGTATAAAGAGAGAGGAGAGAGGTAGGAATTCGTCCTTAGGACTTCTTGGGAAGGCTTACCCGAATTCATGTGCCAAGGGGTGTTTATATAGGTGTTCAGATAGGGTTTCAGTCATTATCCTTATCTAGATGCTTATCCACAAAGCAACCCATAAGATAATCTTTGAATCCTTATCATAGTCGAATTCTAAGGCCTTATCACCTCAAATTCGTTCACCCTAATAATAAGATAATCCTTACCTTATTTTGTAGCTATCACATAATTACAAATCAGCCCCTCTAGTTTAATTAATTACACTTGATCACAAAATTAATTCTCAATTAATTATTGACCAATATTAATTAAACAAATATGATTTCTCCTTTAATATATTATTCTTATAACATATTAATAAATCATAATAACCTCTCTCTCTATATATTTCTCCAATCAAGTTGCTTTGGTGAAGGCAACCCAAAAGGACCATGCATCATCGGGTCAAGTACATACCAAAATAGTTATGGACTTAGACACTAATTCAACATGTACTTCAAAGGACTCGGCGAGTAGCTGGGTGTACTCGGCGAGTTGAGGTCAACATGGACTGTTGACCTTGATCAGGGGTTGACTATTGGGTTATGGAGTACCTTATAAGGTTAAAGACTTATGTGTATATTGAACTATGGTTATAGGTGGTGGGGCTTGTGTCGAGTGATTCGAGAGTTGGAGTTTACCTTCCGAGTCGACATCTGCGAGGTGAGTTATCCTCACTATATCGATAGGGTCTACAACACCAAGGTCGGGCCTTTAGTTGTTATTGTTATGGTATGCTATATGTGGTTATGATCTGTTAGATCGGAATCGGGTAGACATTATGTTATGCTCTTATGATCCATAGGGATTGGTATGTTAGTGACCAGCTAGGTCAGTACTCTAGTTACAGGAGAAATCTATGATTTATGATCAGTGTGACATATATGTTTGATGTTTATATATGCCTGTATATTATAGTATGCGTACATGGTTATTCGCTTGTGGCTGGGTTGAGGCGGTCCTGCTTTGTGCTGAAGGCCAATATACCCTATGAGGGGTCCGGGGAGACTGTAGGCCCACGTGGCGGACCAGTCATGCCGAAGGCTCGGGATAGATTCAGACAGACTGTAGGCCCGGTAGGGCGGTCCAGTCAGGCCGATGGCCCAGTATGCATGTTGATTGATTGACTGTTACTGCTATGGTATTATTAGTGTGGTGTTAGTATTTTGGGGGTAGCTCACTAAGCCCTCGAGCTTACAGTTTTCAGTTTATTGTTTCAGGTACTTCAGGGGATCGTGGAAAGGCGAAGGCGTGACCAACTGCTCCTCATCCTTATGTTATGATTTTGGGACACTCTGATGGATTTGGATTTGAAAACATTTTGTAAACAAACTTTGTTTGATTTTATTTACGATTGAAAAAGTTTAAATTTGGCGTAAAATTTATGGTTGTTACACCTAGTGCCCTATAGATGAACATTGACAACAATGAACCTAGTCCCGTATAGATGAGCATTGGCAGCTGCGCCACAACCTGTAGATGTTGATCTACGATAAACATTCTAGCAGCTGCGCTTTAAGGATAGTATCGACAGTTGCGCCTAATAGAGAACCTCATAACCCCCGGCAGATGCGCCTAAAGGACTATATCGACAAATGCGCCTTATAGAGAATGTCACAATTCTGGCAGTTGCGCCTAAGTGATAGAACTAGCAGATGTACTTGACAGCTGTGTCATAGACAATGATGGACTTCATGCCTATTCCTTAGGACAATCCTTAGGAACGAATGAATGAAGAATAGCAGACTCTTAAGGTAGATCCTTAAGATTAAAGAAGAGAATGAGGATGAGTAATTGTGTTAATTGTTTGATGATTAGACATAATAATTATATTATTGTGGGTTGAAAACTCTATGTACTCACTAAGTTTCCCAACCTGACCCACTTAGTTTATTTGAATCACAGGTGTCGATATGAAGTTACATTATACTGATAGATTAATGAGATATAAATTACTAGTGATAATGAATGTAAGTTCTTTTTATGCTTATGTTTATGTATTGACAATGACATCCCAAATATTTTAAAATGAATAAAAATACATTTCTTCATAAATGTTTTGATAATGTAATTATCATGTTTTCCTGGGAACAAATTCTGCAACACTTTATTTAAAATGTTACTTTGATTTTTAAACAAAACATAAACAAAAATCGATCTTTTCTGACTGTGAAAATGGAGATATCACAGTGAAATAGACCAACCCACATGAAAATGAGTCTGAAATACATTTGAAAACAACCTATTCTGGAAAATATGGTTATTTTGAAAAGAAAAAGGTTATATTTTTTAAAAACACAAAAAAATTAGGTTACTTAATTTGCCGATAAAAAATAAAAAATGCTAGTTTACTCAATTTCCCTATAATAAATTCCATTTAAAAAACATTATCAAAATAAAAAGGCTTCTTAAAAGTTAAGATACATCATCAAAGTGTTTGTATTTTTATTAATTTTGAGAAAGGACAATTAGAAGAATTTATAGGAGAAAATGTGAATTTGCCTTTTACAATTACACCCGTAGCGGTAGAGGAGTAGTGTAAGATTGAGGTCTCCAGTCTCCACACAACACATAATACGAAGGGTTCTACGATGCGCCACCGACCCATTCGGGCGGATTTTTTCGATCTCCTACAAAACCTATCTTTTCACAATCTGACCAGGTTCTGTTAGTTTACCTTACCAATATCATCATCACTCCCCCTCTTCCCTCTTTCCCCCCTCTCTCTTTTCTTCTCCGTTGTCATGGTTTCGGTTTCTCCTTGTCGGTGTACCAATCACTAAACCCTAATTGTCCGTTTATCTTTCTATCTCTGTTACTTCTGGTAAGTGGTTAAACAAAAAACACACGCTTTCCACGTTTGATTTCTGTAATGTTGGATTGGGTCACGATTAAATTACTGTAATTTGGATTTCACGTGATTTGATCGGAGAGATCCGACTAATTTTATTATTGGGTATTTTTGATTATTAGGGAAAGAAAAAGATTGTGTCTTTCGTGAGGAATTGGATATATGTCCGTCAATCAATCAAAGGGTAACAACAACGAGTCGCAACAGTACAGACGATCCGGTCGATCTGGTAATCCTGCTACGCAAAGGAACTTTTCAGGTGGTGGTGGTGCCGGGAAGGGCGGCGGCGGCAGTACCACCGCCCCTCCTTCCTCTTCGTTAAATTCCGGTAAAAGGTAAAACTTAATCGGGTCTTGTTACTCTGTCAATACGTTTATGTGAATTTAGGGCTTGTTTTTATTTTTCTTAATGCTTTCATATCTGGGATTCTTTCATATAGCTTTAAGAAGGTGGTTAGTAATGCACAAGGAGCACAGAATAGGGTACCCGTTCAGAATCCGAATGTGAATTTGAGTACTTCAAATTCTCCCGCTTTTGGCAGAGCTGTGCAGAATGGCGCTCATATTCAACCTCCATTAAGTGGTATGTCTACAACTCAATACCTCGCAACAACATTCAATTTGGATAATTTTCTTGTTTTTAATCTACTTTTTATCCCAGTAAGCTTAAATTTGTGTGCTTTATTGTTTTCCTTCAATTGAACCATGACTAAATTACCATTATTCATTTTATCATTGTAGGAACGCCTGATGCTTCATCAACAGGTCCTACTGTAAAGCCAACTGATGCATCAGTTCATAAAAGCACCCCAGGTCTGCCAAAGGCCCCACAAAGTAATGCTGTTCCTTCTGGTTCTAGCTCTACTGGTGCAACAGGTCCTGCAACTCCTGTTAAAGGTTCGACTATAAAGATTGTATTGTTTCAAATATGAATTGTGATACATTTTGCACTTTGCTTTTCATGAGTTTGACTAATGGAGATCTTTAGTATCAACTAAGTCTGAGTTGCATTATTTACAAGGTGTCTGTTGATATATTCTTCTCTATATTTAGGCTCAGCAGATGCTTCTAAAGGATTTCCTCTTCAATTCGGATCTCTCAGTCCTGGTGTCATGAATGGAATGCAGGTATTAATTATACTCTACCTCTGCATAGGTTTTTGTAAATAGATTCTGAATTCTGAATTATGTAATACTGTATCATCAATCTTAACCTTTCTAAAATCATTATTTTCTTATGTTTGTTTTTTCAGGTACCTGCCCGAACAAACTCTGCCCCACCAAATCTGGATGAGCAAAAACGGGTCCAGGTGTGTGTTTCTTGTTCATTGTTTCATATATTTCTAACATAAAAAATATGTTAATCTTAATAGTGAATACCAATTTTCTTGCAGGCTCGTCTTGAATCCTTAAAAGCTACTTCAAATCAAAATCCACCTGTTCCAAAACCAAGGAAAGATGGTGGGAGTGTTGACCAGTCTAATGTGAGTGAAACCCATCATACCTCAAAAGAAAAAAGGGATGTGCTTTCTTCTTCTTCTTCTTCTTCTACTACTACTACTACTACTCCAATCAAGCCTTCTGGTCCTCCTATGCCTTCTATCCCTAGTGTTCCAATGCAGATACCTTTTCACCAATCCCAAAACTATCTCCAATTTGGTGGACCAAATCCACCATTGCAATCACAACCCATGGTGAACACATCAATGCCTGTTCCACTCCCCATGCATTTACCAGTTGGCAACCCCCCATTTGTCCCTGGCATTCAGCATCATCCAATGTCATCTCAGGGGATCATTCATCAAAATCAAGGTCTGAATTTCACCTCTCAGATGACTCATCAGATTGGAAACATGGGAATGGGTATAGGACCACAGTTAGGGCCACAATACCAACAACAGCAGATGGGAAATTTTGGTGGGACCCGAAGAACTGTGAAGATCACTCACCCAGACACCCATGAGGAGCTCAGACTCGATAAAAGAACCGATGTGTATCCAAATGGTGCACCCTCTGGTCCAAGGTCACACCCTCATGGCCCACCATCATTCCCCACTCCACACCCACATCCACACCCAATGAATTATTATCCAAATTCTTACAATGCAAGTCCTATGTTTTACCCTCCACCTGGTTCTAGCAACCCTTTAACTAGTGCACAGATCACTCCTGCTTCTCAGCCACCCAGGTTTTACAATCAGCAGCCTTCTAAACAGGTGACAGTTAAACCTGCAGTGACTGCAAGTGCACATGGGGAAAAGGCTGGTGACTCACTACCCATTGACAAAACTGAGATTCCTAAAATTCAAAAGCCAGGTGGAGAAAGTCAGTCCACTCTTCCTCTTAAAGAATCTGAGGTGGTCGCCGGAATCTCTTTACCGGAGCCTGCCGCTAGCAAGCCGTCTGCTTCTTCTGTTGCCACTGAGGATGCCATGTCACCTAAGCATCCTACTGGCAAAAAGGTTCAAGAAGCCCTTCATGGTGATGATGGTGTTCAAGAACCGACTTTATCCTTGGAAACCAACAAGGATGTGGTACAAGTTAGCAAGAAAGTTGATGGTGATGAAAAAGGTCTTATATCTACTGAAGTTGTTGGTTCAGGGGCTGATTCTGACAAGTCTCTTAAAGTTGAAGGGCCTGTAAGTGAAATTGTTGGGTCAAAAGAAGAATGCAAGGATTCTGTTGACCAGATTCAACCTAGCACTGTGGAGACTGTTTCCATGGTGACTCCTCCTGAAGCACAAGAGAAAGAATCTTTAAACAATATGGATGTTAAATCATCTGTTTCAATTCCCACTTCAGAGGTTAATGTCCTTACTGCTGAAACTTCATTGCTAAATTTAGAGGAGGGCCCACATGCTGTCCCAGAGACACCAGCTTTGACTTTAGAAGTAGAGGGTTCGGTTGATAAAGCTGTTGTTGAAACAGGTAAGGTTAAGGGTAGTAGTAGTAGTACACCTAAAGGGAAGAAAAAGATAAAAGAAATCTTGAAAAATGCTGATGCACGAGGTTCAACTTCTGATCTTTACAATGCTTATAAACGTCCAGAAGAAAAGAAAGAAACTTCAGCTTCTGAGATGGTTGAATCTTCTTCTGACATTATAACAAAGCAAGAACCCGTTGATTTGACTAAAAAAGATGTTAAATTTGAGCCAGATGATTGGGAAGATGCTGCAGACATTTCTACCCCTAAACTGGAACAGGTAAAACATAACAGTGAGGTTGACAATGAAGGAATGACTAAAAAGTATTCCAGAGACTTCCTCCTGAAATTCTCCGAACAGTGTACCGATCTTCCGGAAGGTTTCGAGGTAACAACCGACATAGCTGAAGTCTTGATGGGCTCAAGTATGGGCCCAAGCCCACATCCAAGCCCAAGACCAGGGGCTGGCCCACGGCTGGACCGCCGGTCAAGTAATGTAGGGGAAGACGACAAGTGGAATAAAGGGTCCGGGTCCGGTCCCGGGCCCATGGGTCCAGGGCGCGACATGCGGGTCGGGATCGACCCGGGATATAACGTATCCGGTTTTCGTGGCAACCATGGTGTGTTGCGGACCCCACGCCCGCAGCCACCTGGTTACACCACTGGTGGTGGCATTCTCTCTGGCCCGATTCAATCCCCGGGCCCGCAGGGCTACCGTAATAACTCTGATTCCGACAGGTGGCAACGTGCGGGTGGCTATCAGAAAGGGTTAATTCCTTCCCCTACTCCAATGCCTGTGATGCATAAAGCCGAAAGGAAGTATGAAATTGGAAAGATTACAGATGAAGAACAAGCCAAACAAAGACAGTTGAAAGGTATTCTAAATAAGTTGACACCTCAGAACTTTGAGAAACTATTTGAACAAGTGAAACAAGTGAACATAGACAATGCGGGTACTTTGTCTGGTGTGATTTCTCAGATATTTGATAAGGCGTTGATGGAACCAACTTTTGTTGAAATGTATGCCAATTTTTGTTCCCGGTTGTCTGTGGAATTGCCTGATTTTAGTGAAGACAATGAGAAGATTACTTTTAAAAGATTGCTATTGAACAAATGTCAAGAGGAATTTGAAAGAGGTGAGAGAGAACAAGCAGAAGCTAATAGAACCGATGATGAAGGTGAAGTTAAACAAACGGAAGAACAAAGGGAGGAGAAAAGAGTTCAGGCGAGAAGACGTATGTTGGGTAATATCAGACTTATTGGTGAATTATACAAAAAGAAAATGTTGACAGAAAGAATCATGCACGAATGCATAAAGAAATTATTCGGTGAAGATGAGGAGAACATCGAGTCATTATGCAAACTGATGAGCACAATAGGGGAAATGATTGATCACGCGAAAGCTAAAGAGCATATGGATGTGTATTTCGACATGATGTTAAAGCTATCGAATAACATGAAACTTTCATCGCGTGTACGCTTCATGTTAAAAGACGTAATCGACCTCCGAAAGAACAGATGGCAACAAAGACGAAAAGTCGAAGGCCCGAAAAAGATCGAGGAAGTACACCGCGATGCAGCCCAAGAGCGCCAGGCCCAAAGTAACCGACTGGCCCGTGGGCCCAACCCGAACCCGTCTCTTAGGCGTGGTCAGGGTCAGCCCATGGACTTTGGGCCAAAAGGGTTGAATCTTTTACCAAATCCTCAAACGGGTTACCGTGGGTCACCACAACAGACACGCGGGTATGGTAATCAAGATTCGCGATTTGAAGAAAGGTATTCGTTTGAAAACAGGACTTTGTCGGTCCCGTTACGGCCCGTTGGAGATGACAATATTACCCTTGGCCCGCAAGGCGGGCTTGCTAGAGGGATGTCGGTTAGAGGACAACCGTCAATGAGAGTAATTGGTGGCCCGAATCCGAATGGGTACGGGTCTGGACCCGAAAGACCGGGTTACGGGCCACGAGATGATTTGGGCGGTCCAAGATACTCCCCGCGACCTGCTTACGAACCGGAACAACATCGGGTCCCGCCATCTTCACCTCCGCCACGTGGGCGGGTGCCTACCCCACCGCAAAGTGGGTCTTCGGATAAGGTTTTGTCTGAAGATCGGTTACATGACATGTCTGTAGAGGCGATTAAAGAGTTTTACAGGTATTATAATTGTATAATCAATGGTTTTTTTTAGTCTTATTATTTAACAATGTTTTTTTTTTTTTTTTTAATGGTAGTGCGAGAGATGAGAAGGAAGTTGCTTTGTGTGTAAAAGACCTAAACGCCCCTGGTTTCTATCCATCGATGATATCAATTTGGGTGACGGATTCGTTTGAAAGAAAAGACATGGATCGGGAATCACTTGCTAAACTTCTAATCAATCTTACAAAATCTCAAGAAATTATAAGTGAAGAGGCCCTCGTTAAAGGGTAAATTATATATCTTTTTTTTTTTTAGTTAACACATACTTACACGTTTAACTCTGTGTTTTTACTTTTTTTACATTTCAGATTTGAGTCTGTTCTGATGACATTAGAGGATGCGGTGAATGATGCTCCAAAAGCAGGAGAGTTTCTTGGACGAATGTTTGCAAGGGTAATATTGGAAAATGTGATACCGTATAAAGAAGTATGGCGTTTGATATACGAAGGTGGGGAGGAGCAGGGGCGATTGGTGGAAATTGGTCTTGCAGCTGAAGTTGTTGGAGTGATTCTGGAGATTGTTAAATCGGAGAAAGGTGATTCCTTTTTGAATGATTTGCGTGAAGCTTCTGATCCAAAGCTAGAGAAATTTCGGTTTCCTGGAATTAAAAAAGCATCGAGGTTAGATAAGTTTATTTAGATCGATGATCATAAGTAAGGATGCTCGTTTTATCTTTGTTAGAAAAAAAAAAAAAAAAAAAAAAGAAGAAGAAATTCAAATCTTTAAATCTTTTATGGGTTTGATAGGGGGATTGGTATATATATCTATATATCTATATCTATTTGTAGGAGGGTTTTTGGTCCTTCGTTGTTATTGTTCTCGACTTGAAAAATATTAACCATGATCCTTAAAAGGTTCAAATGAGCATCTAGATTTTACTTGACTTATGGTTGGTTATATACTTTTTATATTTGAATATGTATTTTGTGTGCAATATATTTTTGTTGGTTTTTGATTGTTTGGTCTTTTTAAAAGTATTTTCTGACATTAGATTGATGATTGTAGAAAATATAATTCCAAGATCACCTATCAATGACTTCTTTACTTTATAATCTAAAGTCTACTCTATTTGTCTTTTTAAATTATTATGTGGGGCAAATATAGCTTTCATCTTTCTGCCTGCACCAATTAAACTGTGGAAAATCGCTGTGCTGATAATTAAATACAATCCAATAGTTGTTTATATATAATGACTCGTCGTATGTTTTTGTATAGTAGTTTAAGCTATGGGTCAAATGTCAACCACTAGATATTTCTTTAAAGAAAAATTCAAGCAACCATGATTGATAAATTAGAATTTTTCTTTAAAAACAAGATTAATAGGTTACAAATTAGAAAAAGAATTTTAAACCCAAGAATAGTTTATATATTTTATGATAAAAGTTGTAAATCATGTAATTCATCTACAAAATCCGAAGTTCAAATACCATTGTCAAAGTGACCTGGTTGTGATTATTTAGGATTCCAGCATTTTTAAATGAAGTCAGTTTGAAGTTTGAATCTCAAAAGCCTCCACCATATTCTATTAGAACGAATGTATATAAATATGCCAAGTATTTAGTTACAAGTTAAAACTTTATAAACATCAGCATAACCTCATATCTATTTCCGTGGCTTATTTGTAAATTGAAAATATTCTTGGTAAATTTGAAAAAGATAAGTTATATTTGTGTATCGGTTATGTTTACTTTTTAGTTTGTGTCAAATTAATATCTTATGTTTTGTATTTATAGGTTGAATATTCTTTATGTATTTTGTTTAGAACCACAATATGTTAGATTTTGGGTTTCTAAATAACAATAAATATTTTGTATAAGGATCATGTTTGAAAAACATCTCCCAAAATCTTTAATTTCAACCCTATTAGTTAGGTACCATGAAATCTGATTTGGGATATTTAAATCGACTTGGATAAGGGCGGATGCATGATTTCACATTAGGGGTTGCACAGGAAAATCAAGGGTTGTACGGTAGTAGAAAAAAATAAAAATTTTAAAAAACTTTCTACTGTGGCTGGAAAAATCAGGGGTTGCTGGTGTCACCATGGAACCCACCTAGATCTGCTCCTGGACTTGAAATACAAATTTATTTCAAATCTGAAACATATAATATACCTTGCTTTGTTGTATTTTGAGAGATAGAATGCAAAGAGAATAAGAAGCAATTTTCTTTATATATGAAGAAGACTATAGTTAATAGGAAAGAAGACTATAGTTAATAGGAAAAAACGGCTCATTTTAATAAAAAAAATATTTTTATTTCGGTACGTTGCCCTTTAACCTCGCCAGGAGGCCTTCCCCCTGCCCTTTGGACCCTAGACCTCACCTTCAATTCAATTGTGAACCTCACACTTTCAATCTCGAAAAATAAAATAAACTTAATTTATCGGTATAGTAATACTAACTACATTAAAAGATATTAATAATGTTAAAATCAATAACATATTATTATTATTATTATTATTATTATTATTATTATTATTATTATTATTGTTGTTGTTGTTGTTGTTGTTATATCAAATTTAGATAAGTTTATATAAATTTAATATCTAGTTATTGTATTATAGTCTAACGGATAGTGATAAACAAACTGGTAAAGTAATAACATTTAATAAAAAAAAGTTGGTAATGATGATAACAAATATAAAATGACATAGAATAGAATGATATTAACAAACAATGAGCAACCAAGAATGTCCACAATAAAAAAGTTTTTTCACAAAACCTTTTACCAAATTTCAAACCCAAAAAGTTTACAAACACTCGTTATAGAAAAGTTTTTTCATATAGTTTCTTTATGGTCAATCATATAAAAATATGCAATAAAAAAAATAATAAAATGATATTACTTTTAGCCATAAAGCTTGTTAATTAACAAGCTTTGTGAAGAAAAAAATTGTTCTAAAAAATATCTCCAATAGCTTCTTAACATTTTGAGATCTTTTTCCTTGAAAAAGCTCTTTAAAAGAACTTTTAAAAAGGATGCTCATAAAAAACTTGTGAAAAAGATATGAATTTATCAATAAACTATCTTATATAGTTTCTAAAAAGCTAGTTTATAATTACTGTCATAATAAACATTATATTGCAATAAATTAAAATAAAAAACAAACAAACTACCTCAATGAACGTCCAAGTGGACCTAAAAACTGAACATCAAAAAAATGCAATTAATAAACTGAAAAATGTATATAATTCAACAAGTTGCTCATGTGGTGATTATTCCGTGAAAATACGCACCATGTTCTAACAACCAATTTGTACTTTTCTACATTCAATATTGGGTTAATACTTCAAAACCCTGATAGACTAATTATTAGGTCTTTACTATATTATAAATTAATTATAATATTTATTAAAATAAGCATAACTATTAAAATAATCATAGTGGGTAATTCTCATCAAAAATAACAATTTTACCGTAAAACTATATTTTATTTGTACAGTTCAAATTTAAATGAATTAGATTAAATATATATATATATATATATATATATATATATATATATATATATATATATATATATATATAAAAAGAGAGAGAGAGAAATGATCATTTGAGAACTTAAAGTTTCCTGAAAACCCGATAACTAAATGTGGAACGTTAGATAAAAAAAAAAAGAAATATCAAGATGGAAGGTGATATTTTTGTAAATAAATAGAGAGTTATATAAGCAAAGGTATCTTAATTAAATAAAACTAAGGACATTATAGGAAAATAAATACATAATTCAATTATATTCATATTAAATTACCATATGATATTTTAATCAGTTTACGATATGAGAAATAAAATTTCTCTCTCTCTCTCTCTCTCTCAATGTATCGTGTTCTTCACCCACTTCATTCACTCTCCGTCGACCCACTCCCTCCGCCCTCCAACAACCACCCTATCTCCATTGAAGATCCCCGACGATTGATAGATTGAACAACGCGGTAACTGCATCCTTGTTCCTTCTCTGAGTTTCGTGCCCTAATAAATCAACCAACGATCGCATGAAGATGTTGTAACAGGTATGATGATTTTCCGATTGTCAATTGATGGAGATCGAACCGACGGTGGTAGCCACACATGATGGAGTCGGGAACGCACCTGATTCTTCATTGGATTATTCTGCTTCGACTGTTCCTATTAATAGCAATAATATCTCGAGCAACAGGTGCGATGATGACAATAACGAAGAGGAAAATGTTTGTCGGATCTGTCGGAACTCAAGAGACGTCGGCAATCCTCTCAGATATCTTTGTGCTTGTATCGGGAGTATTAAGTTTGTTCACCAAGACTTCCTTCTGTGACAACTCGAAATTTCCATTCTGAACAAACCATATCAAGCCAATAGAAGTTAGAACAGTTACAGGGAAATTCCAGACTTTGGATATAAGTTTGAGTATTTCAGGTTTAACACTTAAGGAGATATCAGGAGAGTGGTTGCACTAGGGTTTTGTGCAACACTGTTATTCCAATACTCTATGGTATTAGAGTTCATTCCGGGAATGAAATATTTTCTGCCAAAAATCTCAGGACTATATATAGAAATCTGAGCCATATTCATTCATTAGTTACATTTCCAACTAGAGAAAAGCCATTTTCTCTCTTACGGATCTTCGGGTTTTTATCCCAAATCGTGAGTACCCCTCTCTAGTTGTTTTATATAGCTTAGATTGTGCTTATAACATCAAAATCGGATCAAATCCCAAGATTTGGGAGTTTACCGCCCAAGAACACTAGGAGAGTAAACTCCTTTATAAGGGCCAAAGTGTGCCCAATGTCCCTCAAAGCCTTGGAAATGGACCTAGAAGCTACCATTACATGTTTAGACCACAAAATCATAATAAAACAACAAGATTTGAGAGTTTACCGCCTAAGAACACCTTGGGGAGTAAACTCCTTTTTAAGGGCCAATTGGTGCCTAGTCCTTCCTTAAGCCATGACACTAGTTTGGACTTGTACACTAATGAGTTTAGGGATAGAAAACAACCTCAAAACACCAAGGAAATTGTGTTCACGGCCAAGGAAGTTCTTGGGCCGTGAACTCCATATTAGGGTGCCAAAGTGCCCTAAATACCTTAATTAAGCCAACAGACAAACATAACACTTTACCTTGATGTGTCTAGGACCCAAAACAATGAAAATATCAACACCCATGGGTGTTTACGGCCGCAAACACATGACCAAATGGTCCATGGGCTGTAAACTCAAGTTAGGGGTGTTTTGATGCCACAAACACTTCCAAAGGCTTAGGCATGAATTTAGAATGCTTCTTTATGACCTTTAGGACCCTCATAAGTATATTTGGCCATGAGTTTATGGTAGTAAACTCATTTGGGCCGTGAACACCCCAAAAGTGCCAAAAGAAGTGGTCTTTCTCATCCTAGGCTAGAGCTAATGTCCCTAAATCATTCCCTAGCTTTCATACTTGCATTCCCACATGTGTAGCCATGAGTTTACGACCATAAACTCCCTTGGGCTGTGAAATCATGGTAGTAAACTCATGTGAGTGCCTTTATACTTTCCTATGTTGAATCACATGTGATTCCAACACTTGGTCAAGGTGTTACCTAGTCCCGGAAGGTGTTTCCTTACATATAGATGTTACAAACACTATATTCATGTCAATATGTGTCCTTATATGTCATTTAGGACTTATTGTGTCTCGGGACTTCATTCGTGGAACTTTTCCTCCCTACACGCGTACCCGCTAGAACCACTCACAACAGGTGAGTTCATACCCCTTAATTAATGTTTTAAATGATTTTAAATGCTTTAAAGAAAACATCATGTTATTAAA